AAATTTTCTTTTTTCCTCTTCATCTTACCAACGTCATCATCATATCCTTATCATCATCATCATTATTACTGTTGTTGTTCTTATCGGTGTTGACATTATCATGGTCATTAATATCACCATCATAATTAGTGTTACCATCATTATTATTAATGTAAGAATGTTCCTTTCATCAATGGTATTTGATTAACATGATTCTCAGCATGATTTCAGCGTCATTATTCTTATACTAATCACCAGAAATTAGAAAATACTCTGATTTACAAGGCCTCCGCCATCAACACGTCTGTCATACTTATTAACATTACTGCCATCATTGTCATTATCACCACACGGCAGAACCACAACGAAAATCATTATCAAACAGCATGAAAATAACCGACCTAATTATAATTATAATCCCTAAACCAGAAATCTAATTATTGCATTAAATAATCTTGATCGTAGCCACAACGACCTGTTCAACCAACTGTAAGCTAAACCACCTGGTTTTATGTTTAAGCCATTCGCTACCCTGTACATCCGCGGCCATAGAAAGCTGGGCACGAAATTATAGAAAACGGGAGATGGGGAGGTCGAGGGGTGATTGGTCTAAACGATTTTATTTTCTGGTAGATATTGGCGATGCAGATTTGTTTGGCGTAAGGTGATGCTTTCCTTATGTTTCAGTTTCTCTTTTTTTCACCTTCTTTTTATTATGTATTGTGGTATCTGGATTGGGCATTGTTTCATTGAATACTAATTATAATACTTTTTTTTTCCTTTACTCTTCCTTCCACGGCAAATAACAAGCTTGATTTACGAGAATGTATTTGCATTCGAGGTGTTCCTACTAAGCACCTAATTTGTTCTTGTAAAATATTTCGCGTCACCGTTGGGAGAAGAATGTAATAAATACTAACATTACTAACATTAAATTTGGGAACATGATATCAAAGAGCCACTATTCACATCAAACTGTTATATTTATGGAGACATTAAACCCATTCACCAGAAAATGTCCATATAAAATACACCTTTCAGAAATTTCGAAAGTCATCCGCTGATTGATGATAGAAAGAAATTCCTTGAAGTGATTCTGAAAGCAATTGATTAAACTTCGTAGATATTACATTCCATACCTTTAGCAAAAGAAATAAAAAGATAAAAGAAGCGATAAACTATATGCAATTTTTCTTCAGTTTTTCTGTCTCTCTTACCGTCTATCTCTCTACCTCTCTCTCCATCTATCTATCAAGTTCTCCTTCTATACATCTCTATCTATTAACCTCTCTCTCTAACTATTTATCCATCTATTTCTCTATCTACCTATCTATTTATACATGTATGTGCATATATACATATATATAGATAAATAAATAGATAGATAGGTAGAAGCGAGTGCGAGTATGTATATATATATATATATATATATATATATATATATATATACAGAAGGAGAGAGAAAGAGATCAGGTATATAAACAGAACAGCAACAGCACCATCACTACTTAACTCCCGGACTCCTAGGAGACAACCCCTACCCCTTCTCCCTTCCCCTATCCCATCATAACCCCCCCCCCCTCCCCCCCAAAAAAAAAAAAAAAAAAAAAAAAAAGATGTGACCGGAAGTGTCTCAACCAAGCCTCGGCGACAGGTCTGCACTTCGGTCTTTAGTAAATCGCCTCGGTCTTGGGTGAAAACGCACGCCCACTTTGAGAACCGCCCGCAGCATTTCTATGTGTTTCTCCCGGTTCTACGAGACTCTTACGCCCACCTTCCTTACGCGAGAGTGCTTAAGGGAGTAAAAAAGTGAAACCGAAACGTCATTCTTAGGCTTAAGGGTGAGTTATGCTCTAGGGTGGGTGGGTGGGGGGGTGATTCGTATTTGTGGGGGCGGTTTATTTTCTGTGTTTATGATTTGCTGTTGAGGGTAGGGTGTATTGAAGCTTTGGGAAGTTTTGTTTTGTGTTTTTCTTTTTTTTTGTTTGTTTGTTTGTTTGATCGTATGTTTGCTTGTCTGTCTCTCTCTGTTTCTGTCTCTGTCTGTCTGTCTGTCTCTCTCTCTCTCTCCATCTATCTTTCTCGCTTCCTCTATCTCCCTTTTCCTCCATCCATTCCATCCTCCCTCCAGCTTACCGCCTTTCCCCTCATTTCCTCCTTTACTAAACCATGTTTTATGTATTCATTATTAAACACTGGTCATCTCTCCCCCCCCCCCTTCCCTCTCCCTTTTCTCTTTCGTTTTCTCTCCTCTCCTTCTCGTTCCTCCCGTCCACACAGACGAAGTGAAACACGTGCAACTGACAAAAGACGATCGATCTCCCCGTGTGAAAGCAACAGGCGTCTAAGACCTCAATGACGAAATGAAGAGGGGGGGGGAGGGGTCGACTTTCGTCCATTCAACCCTTTCGTCTTTTGTAGCCTAAGAAACGCCTTTGTAAAAGCTGTGCATTGTTCTAATTTCAGGCTGTCCATCTTGAGCTAGATAGATTCGAGGCGCCGCTAAGCATTATAAATGGTT